TGTAATATATTGGTATAAATTTCTGTAATATATTTACCACGCATAAACTCCCCAAGATCGAAGTAAGCATTCTGTATTTCTATTAATATGGTTCTCCAGTCACTTTATCTGCCCATTATGATTTAGGTTTAGCTAATTTATTAAAATTTAGTTTTAAATAATCAATAATTCATAATTTCAGTAGCTGCAAATTATTCCATTGAATAAATATATGCGCTACAACGAGTTTCAAGAAACTGATTACCCGACAAATTCCGACTCGACAGTTTATTTGCAATGCACTTGTGCAGCTTAACATGCCTCTAGTGTAGAATTGGGTGTCCCTTCGATTAGCGACAATTTTTTTTTTTAATTTTGGCGAGGAAACCTCACTTCTGGTTACCATGATAGTTTTAACTTCCTGATTTTATATTTAAATGAAAATAAATTGATATGTACATGACAAATTTAAGGCAGTGCGCAATGCTTAGTTTGTGCAATTCTAGGATTTTTTTAATTGAAAACAGATCGATGTGTATAGAGACACAGAGTTTGTTCAATTCTTTGACTTCTTATTTTGGTTTTGTGTAGCGGCCATCTTGAAATTGTGCCTTCCTGGCGCCGGTTTTGGCGTCAAAAAAGAATCGCCAAACAAACAAGGGGCACCCAATTGTAAACGTTTACCAATCTTTAATCTAGATGGTCATTTAGCATCGATTAACATAACGCCATGTACATCCTTTGTCAGAAAGTTCCAGGACAATTTTTTATTTATGAGTTTCCTGCACTAAAAAAAAAAAACAAATGTTTTAATGTTACCTGGTATGTATTGTTACTTTGCATGATCTTAGCCACGTTTCCGGGAAACCTACTAGATGGCAGGTCTGTGCTTAGCAACACACTGTCCGGATTGATGTCACATTCGTTGTGGTGACACAATGGAGGCTTATTGCGAGCAAAAAGTGAACAATAAGTTCTGCATTAAGCTTCCGAAAACTCCTAGTGCAACGTGGCAAGCGAGACACTTTTAAGAAGTCGTGTTTTCGAGTGGCATAAAAGGTTTCGTGAAGGCAAAGATTCAGTGAAAGATGATGCCGGAGCTGCTACCAATGCGTGAGCGTGTAAAATAGTTGCTGCAAGAAGACCGTCGTGTAACTATGCTTATATTATCAGAAGAACTGAATTTAAATCGTAATGTGTGCCATAAGATTTTACGCGAAGATTTAGGGAAACGGAAACTTAATACAAGAATCCTCCCTCACTCACCAACAGATGAGCAGAAAGAGGAAGAAGTTCTGATTATTGGATACAGCCCAGACGTGATCCCGCATTTGTGTCAAACATTTTTTTTTTTTCTTGTTTCCGTGAGTGAGAAGGTGACTGAAAGCAAAGCTTCATCAAGATTATTGCAGACATCCAACAGGCTATGACAAATGAGCTTGCAAGCATCGCAGTTGAAGATTTCCCTGGTTGCTTCCAAGTCCTCCAGAAACGTTGACAGTTGTGTATAGATCGCCAAGGGAACTACTTTGATAGCAGCTAGAATCATTATCAATTTCGGGAAAGCAGCAAAATGAGATACATTCCGATGACCTCATTTATCACGTGACTTATGTATACCTTTTGTAAAAAAACTATGCAGATGACATCAGAGTTCACGTGACTTATGTACAGCTAATGCAAACGAGCAAGATCATTCTTCCTCTTGTTTTCTTGCGGAATGTCTCTCATTGTGAATATTATTTAAAGAAAACCGCCGCGGCAACACGCTATTGGATGTTCAAATATTAAATGAGAGATTAAGTCTATTGCGTTTTTTCATTTTGTTTATTAATGCATTTTGCAGAATACTCACAAATGGAATTTTAGCGAATGCAGCGCAATGGATCACAATTAATTGGTAAATGCAATGTCCTATTTTTTACGACGTTTGTCCTGGAACTTTTCTGACAAAGATGCACATTCAAAAAAATTCTAAACTTTTATCTTAACATCAAAATTCAATTATTGATATAGAAAAAATAAGGTACTTTTCCGTTTCGCCGGCGCAAATCTTGCCAAGCAGACGACAACATACAGTGTACACATAAAAAATGTTAACAAATGTTAGTTCTTAAAAAATTTTTATTATGAAGGCATAAACATTTTAATATCTTTTAAAATTTTTGATAAAGCCAATAAATAAAGACAATTTTAGATGACATTTGGTTTTATCTATTTCCATTTTAGAATAATTTAAGAAAAAAAACTATTGAAAAAGCTAATGAATTGCTATTATAAAGAAGATACGGCTATCTTCAAATTCATTTTAGACTTCTACTGTTTGCAGCTTTAAAAATGTGTTTCCACATAATTCTGCCATTTAGATGACTTCATAGAATACAATTTTCACGTTCTCGGTTGTTAAACAAAATACTGCATTTTTGAAGCAATGCAATGCTTTCTCTTTCATCAGCCGGTAAACTCCACGATCGTATTACGATCACTTATAATTTAAACAAAAGTACAGTTGGGGTGGAAAGCACTACTTAGCGAATAGTATATTGGTTTTGTTAAGTTTATTTTATTATGGCAAAGCACGCGAGGGCTATCTGCCTAGGGGAAAGTACGCCTTCGTGGAGCACTTTCTAAGGAAAACTGGATTGTATACACGTTACACATAAAGAAACCCACGAACACGCCCACACAACCGGCCCGTACGCCTGGAATCGAACTCAGGTCAGAATTACTAGCATTCAGCGACTTTGCCGCTAGGACGTTGGTTAGCCTGTAAGGATTATGTTAATTTTATTAACAGTTAAATTTCAAGTTAAAGTTTCTTTCCTGTCAAATTCTTAACTTCAACTTACTACTTCCAGAAACGTAGTTTTGGAATCTTGCTGAATATTTAATGAGGAGGAGCGGTATTTAAACACGAATTTAGGATTTAGGAACGGGGAAGACGGGCACCACGCCTTTACCATTTGGTTAATTGGTTTAGCGCCGTCTCCCCACTACGTGATCCCAGTCGTTTATTGATATTAGCAAAACTGAGTTAGAGAGAATCAGAGTTTCTGATTTACGCGCGTCTGCCTTTTCGGCCACTCTCTCCCTCAAAGCTGTTATTACGCTCGGCCATACTCAGGCCCTTGCTAAGCTTCGCAGTCAAATAAGTTAAGGGGCCAACTCGATTTCAACCTTGATAGCTTCGGCTATACTTCTTTAGTTAATCTTAGTTTTAGTTTAATTCGTAGTCTAAGTTCAAGCCCAAGTGCGAGCTTTACTTGTACACTCCCAGGCGGAGTTTTGTTAAATCTTATTGGAATAATAAAGGGTTAGTTACCCTTCTATCTTGTTGTTTCTTGTCACCGAACTCAAGCGATTATTCGCTTATCAGTTCTTAGATTCTTCACTTCCAACATTAAATTAGAATTCCAAAGTGAGGAACTCTACAAGCCGATTAGCGAATTGACGATTAAATATAAAGCCACGTTCACTCAAATACATCTGCGGTATGCGAGTACGTGAGTCACGTGATATGTCAAACCACGGCGTTTCTATCGAGTGATGAAACCCAAAGTATAGCCTGAAACTACCAAATGGGGTTTTAAAACAATGTCATCAGATGTTCACATTCACTTTCTTGAAGCAGCCGAGTGATAAAGTCATTGACTATCGATAGTTCTGACCTGAGTTCGTTTCCAGGCGAACGGACTGGCTGCATGCTCGTTTTCTAGTTTTCCCTATATGCAATATCCGTGTGTATACTAGACGGTTCCTTAGAACATCCTCCAAGAAAGTATCCTTCCCCTTAGGCAAGTAGCCCTAGTGTACTTTGCCGTAATCAAATAAAGCAAAACTGATCAATTTCTTAAAAATTGTCTAAAAATGTCATTACTTAACTCCATCTTAATTTAGTTCTAAAGAAAGTATATGCTCTTCTTAACGTTTCTAAGATACTGAAATCAAATTAGCTTCAAAACTTCATCTTAAATGGTAAAGGAAAGACAATGAAAAATTCAAGTATCTTAGTATCATTGATTTAGTGACTCTTTGGACATTATTAACAGAATAATTCTCAAAATATAAAAAACCTATGGTTAATTTAAGAGGACTCATACACCTTAAACCTCTCATGATCTTCGAATATGTGACTGTGCAAGAATTGGGATATTTTATTTATTTTAAAAGCAATTATTTCCAACATTTTACAGCTGACTACATAATATAGCTGCTTTGGAAACTAGTAACCAGAAAGTTTGTGTTGCCACAAATATTTTTGTAACTTAATCCTCTTTGTGACAAAATATTTCGCCATGTTTCCACCTTGCGCGCATGATATTTTAAAAATGGCTAATGGTACATACTTAAAATTTGATGGAATTCTTCATATGGGCACTATTTTCTAACTGAACCAACAATCTGATGAATATTTTAATATTGAAAAATTTTATGGACGAAAACGTTACAAATTTTGTTAATAAAGTACATTTTATATACTCCACTCAAAATAAAATAAAAATTTAACATGAAATTTTTAGAATTTTAGGTTTACAGTAGTTTCCAAATGTTATAAAAGCTATATATTAAATATGGAATTAAATTATGAAACAGAATGTTTTAAACTGTGCGCGCAAGTTGGAAACATGACGAAAATTGTTGTCACAAACGGATTAAATTATAAAAATATTTTTGGCAACACAAACTTTCTGATGACTATTTCAGAAAGCAGCTATATTATGTAGTCAGCTGTAAAAGGTTGGTATTAATTGCTTTTAAAATAAATTAGTTATCGCAATTCTTGCAACAGTCACTTATTCGAACATCTTATGGGTTTTAAGGTGTATGAGTCCCCTTAAAACAATTTATCAGTAACACACACAAACGTTAAAGGACATAATGTGGGTAATTTAAACATTTCCTTTCATGTAAATTATTTCAGTGTCGAATAACGGTTACCTTAAATCTAAGCATTTTAAACTCGTGGGTTTTTATCAGGAAAAACACAGCTTATACTGAAAACGTGTACAATTTTTTCTTACCTCATGAGTATGAAAAGCACTAATGTTAGAGAAACCATAATCAGAAGAACGGTGCTGGCTGTTTTCGTCACAACAACTGCAACTACTTTTTCAACCTGCAAAAAAAAATTTATTCATTGCTATGTACTGAAATTAGTTTTTTAATTTAATCATGAATTTTATATTTTATACCATTTATTTCTATTAAAAGTACACTGCCCTCCAAAAGTTAAGGAAGATGTTTTTTGTGTTTAATTTGAGAATGAAGCAACATTCACTAAACAGGTATGCGACACAGAATGTTCCTAAAATTCAACACAACATGAATTACAACAAAAAATTGCACTTTTGGCAGAGAAATAGTATGTCACAATTTTTTGAGGAACAATTTGGTGGTAACACTACAAAACTGGGTTCAAATAAGGAAATATATCCACCCCCTAGTTGCAATCGTCCATCGGAAGAAGTACAGAACCAGTAGGTATGCAACTTATGGGCGGACATATTGATCAAGGATCTCGTCTCGATATCTCACAAAGTTCCTTCATGATCAATGTTCCTTAATGGAATATATGCAGGTCATTGTGACCACCGAGAGCGATCACAGCCCAAACCATTCTTCCACCACCTCTGTAACTGTGTCTTTCCACAATTTGGAATTGGTTGTATCTTGTACGTCGTTCCCTCTAGCTCAGCTGACGACTTTGCAGTGTGAACCTGGACTCGTCTGTGAATACGATGAATCGAAGTCTGTTGATATCTGTGAATACGATGAATCGAAGTCTGTTGATATCTGTGAATACGATGAATCGAAGTCTGTTGATATCTGTGAATACGATTAATCGAAGTCTGTTGATATCTGTGAATACGATGAATCGAAGTCTGTTGATATCTGTGAATACGATTAATCGAAGTCTGTTGATATCTGTGAATACGATGAATCGAAGTCTGTTGATATCTGTGAATACGATGAATCGAAATCTGTTGATATCTGTGAATACGATGAATCGAAGTCTGTTTATATCTGTGAATACAATGAATCGAAGTCTGTTGATATCTGCGAATACAACGAGTGTCAAGAAATAAAGGTAAAGTCAAGAAAATTGTAGTTAATACAATAATATAGTGAAATACTATAAAACTTCCTAAAACATCCTTCTTTATTCTTCTCTAATTGAGCTTTCCCATAAAAAATGTGTACTTTTAAAAATTTTAATAAGATGTAGACTTCTCGAGCTTTTTTAAAAAGACTAGCAATGAAGTTAATTGGAATTTCCTTTTCTTTTAAAATTTTAGTAAGAATAACTATTTCTTTTCGTTATTGTTCTATTTAAATGCAAACCTTTTTAGTTCTGTTAAGCTGATTAAAAATTGTATTTTATATTACTGTTTCAGAGATGTTAGAGTACTAATTTATAAGTTTTATTTGTACGCTGGTTATCATAAATTAAGGAAAAATCACAAAAGTCACGATTACTGAAAAGTTACATGTAGAATTTTAAAAAACTTACCCACAATATACAACACATAGTAAGGTATCAAATAACATAAAAAGAAATTACCAGACAATTATGGTAGTATAAAAATTAGCACATGTATAAAATGAAGAAATCGAAGATGTCAGTTTGCTATAGTAAAAGTACTTTCAATATGGAATATAATCGCCTCTAGAATACAGCACATTCAGCGATGTGTGATGCTTTCAATTATGCGGTCTATCAGTTCCATAGGAAGCGAGAGCCAGTGCTCTTGCAAAGCAGTTGCAAGCGCGGCAGGTGTCTAAGGGGGCGGATTGAGAGCAGCTAGATTTCTCCCTAAAGCATCCCAAACGTGATCCATAGGATTCAAGTCCGGTGATCTAGCTGACCACTCCATGCGCATAATTGCTTCCTGTTGAAGATAATGATCGACGATGCGAGCCCTGTGTGGTCTTGCATTGTCGTCCTGTAACAGGAAAGCATCACCTATTTCCCCGGCATATGGGCGCACATAAGCATCAAGGATGTCATCTCTATGAACATGAGCATTCACGGTTCCCCTTGGAAAACATGGAGGTCTGTGCGTCCACCCAAAGAGATGCCACCCCAAACACAGACACTGCCTCTTCCGTATGCATCTCCTTCCTGATGTTTGACGGATGATAACGGGTTCCAGGTTCTCTCCATATCAAATAACGCCTACTATCGCGTTCTAGACTAAACCTGAACTCATCCGTAAAGAGAATAGCCCTCCATTGCTCAGGCATCCAGTGGACATGTTGTCGTGCCAACTGCAAACGGTTCCTGCTATGGCGTGACTTGAGCGGCACGCAAACGGTTGTTCGCCTCGCATACAGACCACCTTCGTGAAGCCTTCTACGCACAGTTGACGTTGACACCAACCTTCCGGTGGCTGCAGCAAGGGAGGATCTAAGAAGAGTTGGAGTAGCGGTTCTATTCCTGCGTGCACATAATGTCAAATATCGGTCATCGGCGCTCGTCGTAGCAGTTGGCCGTCTTTGGCTGAACCTCCTAGGTGCCGAATCTGTGATTTGAAATTGCCTCCAAAGTGTATGAACCACAGAAGGACTCCCATTTACCATCTGGCCACTTCTGTTTGACTTTGTCCTGCCTCTAGTTTCCCAATGGCTTTCTATCGTAGTTCTGCAAGCAAATGATGCCTGGAAATCATTGTTACGAATTGGCTATCTCAGATTTCTGATGTCACTATCACAGTGAAATATGTGGACTTTTATGCTCCTCGCAGATGACGTATTCTGAGTGCAGAGCCACTAATTTGCATATTGAAGTTTTACTCAGCTACTCTTACTTGGCAACATATTCAAATTTTACACGGCTTGGCTTATTTTTGAGGGAGTTATCGCTATTTTTGTGATTTTTCCTTAATTTATGATAACTAGTGTAGAACAATTAAATTCTCTTCTGTTATCAAATAGTCTTATTTCTTTAAGGTTATGAATGCTAAGATCTAGATAATCCATAACTAACTGGTTTTTATTGGTTTTGTTAGTTTTCTACTGTTGGGGGTTGATGTTACTAATTTAAATAAGATTATTATATTTATCAATATATCTGAAAGTGTTTAAATTATTAAAATCATTGTCAGAAAGATTTTTAAAAAATTTATATTCTTTATAAAACAAATATAGGTTGCATAAATGAGTTGAATTAGAACTTCCCATTGGAATACCATTTGCTTGTAGGTAAAATTTTTAATGTTTTAACATTATTGAAATGCGGGAAATATAGATATTCATTCCATTTTTGCAAATCCAGAATAGTAAGCAATATCAGGAAAAACATTTGGCAGCTCCAGAAGATTTTCATAGATTTCTTCAAGTGGGAGAGACAATAATTTCAATAATTTTGAACACAATTTCAGATATATTGATGATATTTTTGCATTTAACAATAATAACCTTATTAAAATTAGAAACATCTACCCCAACTGTCTAAAACTTAATAAAGCCAATAAAAATCAATTAGTTACAGATTATCTAGATCAGGGGTTCTCAACCGGTGGTATGCATACCACTGATGGTACGCAAGAGAAAAATAGGTGGTGCGCAAAGAAGCAAGATATTTTTAACTATTAAATTCAAAAATTAAAACCACAACATCCTGTTTGAGTTTTTTTTCTCTAACACTCGTAAATTTATATGATCTGAGCTTTGTTCAAGCATAGTGGTGGTGGTTGTAATAGTACTTTGTAGTGGTGGTACTAAAGGTTTTCAATTTTTGTTTAGGTGGTACGCGTTAGTCAAAAGGTTGAGAACCGCTGATCTAGATCATATGTTAAACAAATAAGACTATTTGATAAAAGAAAAGAACTTAATTTTTCTGCAATAAAACTTATAGACTGATACTCCGACATCTTTAAAAAGGTACGAGTAATACCAAACACAGTTTTTAATCACATTAACAGAATTACTAATGTTAGCACTGAAATAGAACAAAAACCAAAAAAATTGTTATTCTTACTAAAATCTTAAACGAAAATAATATTCCAAGTATCTTCATTAACAGTCTTTTAAAAAATAGGCGCAGTGGTCTACATCCTATAAAAATTTTTAAAAGTATGAATTTTTTACGTGGAAGTTTTAGGAAGTTTTATAGTATTTCATTATATTTTCTATTACTGTATTAGTCTATTAACTACAGTTTTTCTTGACTTTACTCTTATTAATAGCGAGCAAACTATATTCTAAGTCGTCATGATAAGTCCAAGACGAGAAAAGTTTTTACTTTTCCAACCTTCATTTCTTTTCTTACTTTTCTTTCACATTCCTTTCATAAAAAATTTCTTAAAAGCATTTAATTTACCATTTAGGAGATTTCCACCTTGCCATGGCCAATTAGTTTCGCCAATGATGCCAAACTGGCAGTCCTTTAGAATCCCTTTTACTTCCTTGTTCGAAGTAAAGGAAGTACCGTAATCATGAAAAATTCCGGGTACCATATTTCAACGAAAACATCTATTTTGACCGCTATCGAATGCAATTTAACGATGCTTTTGCATGACATCTGTACGTAAGGGCAGAATAAAGGACTCTTTTTGCCAAAACGAATTATAAAACTGATTTAAAATGTATTCATAAGAGACTTTTCCGTGGCGTCTGTACGTACATACTATGTACGTACGTATGTATCTCGCATAACTCAAAAATGAGTGGCCTCAGAGCGTTGAAATTTTGTATATGGAACTGCTATAACATGCAGTTGTGCACCTCCATTTTCAGTTGCAATCGGCAGCATCAAAACTAATATATATATAATAAATATATATATAATCACTCTGTTACTCGGCTCGTTTTTTTATTCTTATATGTTGGTAATTGTGCATTTTTTGCTTTAAAAATGATTGAATTGTGTTGTTCTTATCTTCCGGTTAAGGTTTTATGCCTTTAGTAATATTTGTAGAATCTGCATGCAATATTTGTAGAATTATCAAAAATTTAAGAGTTGTTTAAGTGCGGCTAAGGCTAATTTTTTTACCATAGCAGCCATATTTGTTTACATTTGAAACATAGCAGAATAGTGAATTAATTTTTTCAGCACCTTCAGTGTCTTTTTGCCGAGTGGTACCAAAAGGAAACTTTTAGTTTTGTGCACCAAAAAACTACCTGCTCGACTGCTGGACAAATTGCTTGTTTTTGCGTAGAAAATGTAATTTCAATTATAAAAAAGTTTTTAATTGTTTTAACGATATTTGGTGTTTTATTTTTTTCTATATCTTTCACTTTTTTATTAAAAATATTTTGAGTTTCTATATGTAGTTTTGCCTTGCCACGAAGTGAGAACTGAATTAATTGGATGAGAAATATATCTCTAACGAAGATCGATGAAATAAATTTAAATGAAATGCAGGGAAAAATGCGTATAATTTAATATTCCGTACGAGGAAGTCAAGTGGTGTACACATCAGCTTTTTTAATCTAAAGCTTCTGGTCTTTGTTTCGAAATTAGTTGTTTGATTAGAACGTTCTCTGTATATTTCTAGTATATTCTGTATTTCTACATTTAATTTCAATATTTCAATTTAAATTTTAATCTTACATTCTCTGGGAAAAGTGTACTTAATTATTTACTTTATTTTATATTGATAATTTTCATCTGGATGTGATTTGTATATTTCTCTAACGGATTGCCTCTGAGTACACTGAGTAAGTTTTAAATTTATGATCTTTATTATTTTATTCGTGTACTTTAAATTTCTTCATTGATTTCTAGTCTAAATTCAGTAAAAAGTGGCTCTTTGATTTCTTTTGCTTCATTTGAAATTAAAATTTTGACTTGTGGACTTGTCTTTGTATTTCTCTTTTAAGAACTGACACTGTACTGGGGAGGAATTTATAATTTCCGAGTGAACTGGTATAATTAAATAATTTAGAACAGTTCATCAGTTAATTTTTGATAATAGAAAAGATGTGGTTTATAAGGAGGAGAGGGGGATCAACTGATGTACCTCCTGTTGATAACGTTCCTGTTGATTATCAGATTTTATTGCATTCCTCTTCCTATGTATTTACTTTCTATTTTTTGTGGTTTTTCTACTTTTTTTATATTTCACATTTTTTTCTTCTGACTTTTGGTTTACTTTACATATTTGTAAGAAATTTTGAAATTTACTGGTTGGAATTTGTTCTGTTCTACTTTTCGGCTATATATATGCGTGTGTGTGTATGTATATTTAGTTGTATTATAAGGCGAACATTTAGTTAATAAGTATAATAAAAAAATAAGGTAGTAAGAAAATTCTCAAGTATATTTGCTGCTAATTATCTAATTATAAATAAAATGCTTTCTGAATTCTAAAATTTAATACGAATAATTAGACTAATCGCATACATTCAAAATAAAAATGGGAAAGAAATATAAGTACACCTTGTTATTTTTTTTTCAGTAGGAGTCCATAATTTTAACACAATGGTAAAAGCATGCATGGTAAAAGTAATGATGACACTCAACCTACGGTCCGGTATCGGTACGTCTTGTTTAGCTGGCCTAACGAAAAACAAAATACACTGATTCATCCGGGGGATTATTTCAGTTCGGTTGCTCATAGTTTCGACGAGAGGCATAAGGAGGAAGGTGCTTCGTAAGATTCCATACATGGGCTGAGATAATAGGAAAGGAAGAAGTGGGCAAGATACCAGAATTTCACCATTGGTTATAGGAGTATAGTCCCACTGCATTAATTGTACTCCACCTAAGTTTTGATACAGAGAGAAGGATCCGAGGGCTTCCCATCCCTCTTCCTTTACCACTAAGCAACTCGAGAACTTTCTGCTTGCCAGTATTTGAAATGCCCACATGCCGCACAGACACTATAAAACCATTTCCGCTGTTACGGTCGCACAGGATTTCTTTTGCGATAGCGGTACAGTATTTGACTGCCACGTAAGAGATTTACGATGGAACCCAATCGTCGTTTAACGTTGGGAAGAACACCGGAAATTCATATCCACATTTTCCATCAGCGCTAATAGATGGCGACACGGACAAGCAGTAAAGTCACCGAAGCTATCATCACGTCTCGAGACCCCATAATGTCGTTTTCGACCCCAAGCTCCGGCAACCAGCATCGTTAATCACTACATCGATCAGACCAAGACCTCGGAATTTCCCTCTTTGAACGTACAATTACAATACTACCGAAAGACGTCGGAATTTCCCTCTTGAACGTACAATTACAATACTACCGAAAGACGTCGGAATTTCCCTCTTGAACGTACAATTACAATACTACCGAAAGACGTCGGAATTTCCCTCTTGAACGTACAATTACAATACTACCGAAAGACGTCGGAATTTCCCTCTTGAACGTACAATTACAATACTACCGAAAGACGTCGGAATTTCCCTCTTGAACGTACAATTACAATACTACCGAAAGACGTCGGAATTTCCCTCTTGAACGTACAATTACAATACTACCGAAAGACGTCGGAATTTCCCTCTTGAACGTACAGTTACAATACTACCGAAAGACGTCGGAATTTCCCTCTTGAACGTACAGTTACAATACTACCGAAAGACGTCGGAATTTCCCTCTTGAACGTTAATACAGTACAATACTACCGAAAGACGTCGGAATTTCCCTCTTGAACGTACAATTACAATACTACCGAAAGACGTCGGAATTTCCCTCTTGAACGTACAGTTACAATACTACCGAAAGACGTCGGAATTTCCCTCTTAAACGTACAGTTACAATACTACCGACTTAGCTGCGCAGCTCTGCCCCGATCTTGATGGAGAAATCTCCGGGGTACGGATCCAAGGATCTCCCACCCCTTTTCCTCTACCCTCAAACTTGTCAAGAAGACCTATCAGTATTTTAAGTGCCCCATGCCGCTCAGACTCTCACAAACATCATGCCTTCTCCAGGCTTCAACCCGAGTCAGTTCAACTAGGTTATTCGTCATTTCATTGATTGAATTTCATTATCCAGCTTTGAAAGGGATCTTATTTCCAGCTTGGAAAGGGATCTATTGTTCTACTGGGCACACTGGGACCAGCGGCCCTCATATGCGCCAAGGGTCCCAATCCATTTCTATGCCTTGCTTTCTCTTGATGGCTAGAGGGAATACAGTTGGGATTCTCGCCGGTCCTTCACACAGGAAAACCATCCATCTCTCCCTGACATAGAGGTTCATCTTGACTTTTCTCTTCATTCCGTAAGCCAGCTTTGCATAGAGATCACTCGACTTGCCAACTAATCCAGTCAGCACAAAGGTAATCTGCCAAGTTCGGAAACATCTTCGCTTTCTGTTCTTCTTACTACTGTATGCTGTCTGCTGTTTCTCCTATTCTTTCAGAACCACGAAGTTTATTCAGTGGCAACTCACACAGCTTTAACCAAAACACACAATGGAATTTATCTTTCCGGCCCTTTCCCATCGGAAGGATATATAGCTCTTCTATAAAAGGCATTCCTTTGATGCTTTTAGAATTTTCTGCATTCTTTATATCGAAATGGATGTGAAAAGACTTCGCAACTTTCAAAAATAAAAAGGAAAACTTTAAAATAACCCCATGGGGAAGCTAGACACGAATTTTATAGAAAATGCTTTGTCCTTGTCTTGCTTTAATACTTTCTAGAAAACCATAAAATTCCAATTCCGATCCATAGTTTGATCACATGAGTAGCACATTATTGGTATTACGATTACCTTAGAGACTTACTGAAATAGTTAACAAATTCGTAAAAAAAATAAAGAAACGTAAATCACAAGTAGAATTTAACGTAAAAAAGTTGTCAACATTAGCCTGAGCTAATGGGGAGTCCTATATTAAAATAAAATCAAAGTATATTTGATATTTAGTCAAGAATACACTTAATCAAGAATACACTTAATCAAGTCAAGAATACACTTAATTAGTCAAGAATACACTTAATTCTAACTGTATGTTCTTTTCATTTTTTAATGGCGACGGTCTCTTATTTGAAAGTACGTGGAATTAAATCCACAGCCCCGTAGTCGAGTTGTTTTTCCCACTTTTTCTACACGTACAGTTATAGAATGTTCTGGAAGTATTTAAAGCGAACTGGATTCGCTGACGAGGTTGACGTCATTTGTTGGAAGCTCCGCCTTTCCAGAGGCTATAAAAGTACTCGCAAAAGAAATATCGGGAGCTTTTTCTTTAAAGTAACGATGCAGTAAACTTCATACAAAAAGTTATTAGTAATTCTTTTTGATTTACTCCGGATATCTGATTTTGTAACTGCTATTTTCTCCTGAAATATAATAAATGGATCCTGTTTTTTAAAACTTATCTTCTGATAATTTAACCTACGACAAAAGCTGGTACATCACATATATGTAAGGTATAAAATATGAAAGCTAACTACTAATTCATTCCTGATTTGAATTTGGGCATTTCCTCTTTCCGTTCTAAAAATAATATCTGTTTATAACATATGAATCTAAGTGCGTCATTTCAAATTTACACCTTATGCAACGCGATTGCAGATATCTTTTATCCAATCAGGGATTAAGATTTCAACAAAGAAACCGACTCTGTTGATTATCTTTTCTTTAAATAAAACTTCACAATAATTAATTTCATATTCAGTACAGTATTATACTGTGCTGAATATAGCTATATTTATATTATTTATATAATTATATAAATATTTCGGCTATATTTCATACTGATATCATCACTATTATCTTGAACTGTAAGTAAAAAATAACACAAACAGATGGACTGTAACATTATTATGATATAATTAAATTAATAAATGCTAGAGCCAGTGCAAACAAGGAAGGCCTAACATACTCACAGGGCTTAGAGTAGGAATTGGTCTAGGCGTTGGCTTTTCAGGAGGCTTAGCTGAAAATAAAATTGCAAAATTCAAATTAGCTTACTATAAGTAATGCTAATGTATGAGATGTAGGTATTGATTTGCAGATCAAAAAGTACAAAACGTAAATTTAATATTAGGAAATTTGTGTTTTGATTTATTCCTGAGCATTTCAGATTTTTTATTTTAAATATATTTATCCAGTTTTATTTTCTTCGCCCATTTTCAGACTCTAAATGAAAGAGATTGGTTCTATTTTCTATCAACAAATTTGACCCTTTTGTAACAGACGTTATACAATTATATCTTACACAAAATTCGATCAGCCTAATGGAATGATTGCAGGATTGACTTTCGCGACTTTCCTCATGTGTAACGTTGAATGTGAGCTAGTCTTCCATGAAGACACCGCTTTCCTTAGGCAGATAGCCTTTACGTGGTTTGCTGTATTCGAATAGCCTTGGCAACTTCAATTTTTGTTTTTGAAGAGACCCATTGTTTCTAATCCTCCTGATAGATTTGTGTAAGGTAATTGTGAAACTATCAGATAATATGAAATTAGCTAATTCCATATTAAAGTACACTCATGTCCATAAATTAAGGATAATTCGGAGTCACGCGGAAATCTAATTCTAAAATAAATATATCACCTGTAAAATCACTACACACATTTTCAAGAATCATATGCAAATTTCAGGAAGTAACCAGATGACACCGATGATATGTCACAATGACGAGAGTGTAAGAGAGTGATGTATAAGAAATACAGGCAAAGAAGTAAAATTGTTCGCAGGCGCTTTATAAGCATTTCAGTGCAATAACCGAATAGTTATGACACAAAGGACGCATTTGGATGATTTTTTACGCGGTAGAATTATCGGCCGTCTGGAATGTAGGCGTACCCAACTGGAAGTATCAGACGAACTTGGAATTGCCCAGAGTGTCATCTCCAGGCTTTGGCAACGATTCCAAGATGATGGTAATGTGAGTAGACGTTACAGCACAGGTCGCCCCAGAGTTACAACGCCGAATGAGGACCGGTATTTGGCAGTTACTGCCAAAAGAAACAGGCGGAGCTCAGCCTCAGACCTGTATCGTCAGCTCTCTTCAGCCACTGGTACGACAATTTCAAGGCACACCGTGTACAGACGCTTAGGGAAGATTGGTCTATATGCTCGTAGACCTGTCAGATGCGTTCCACTTACTGCAACTCACTGTCGCCTGCGGTTAGCCTGGAGTAGAGAGCATGCATTGTCGACACCGCAACAGTGGGCTTGCGTGATGTTTTCCGACGAGTCCAAGTTTAGCTTGCAGTCTGATTCTCGCCGGACTTTCATATGGAGAGCTCCAGGTACCCGTTACCACAAAGAAACCATCATTTAAGGACACCGTTACGGTGGTGCAGGAGTGCTCGTTTGGGGTGGAATTATTCTGAGTCACAGAACTGACCTGCATGTTCAAATTGGAACCATGACAAGCAAAATCTATCGGGACGTCATTCTGGAACAACATGTACGTCTGTTTCGGGGCGCCATGGGCGCACAATTTGTGTTTATGGATGACAACGCCCGTCCTCACCGTGCAAACATCGTAAGCGAATGCCTTCAATCGGAGGATATCACCCGTATGGACTGGCCAGCATTCTCACCGGACTTGGATCCAGTAGAGTACGCGTGGGACATGCTTGGCCGACGAGTTGCACCACGTTAACCTCCTCTGACATGTCTACCGGAACTTCGGAGAGCATTGCTTTTTGAGTGGTGTAATATCCCCCAAGATCAGATCGATAATTTGACAGTCAGGCATGCCTAGGCGTTGTACGGACTGTATTGCATCGTCTGGGAGACATACAATGTATTAACAATCATACCAACCATGCAATATTGGTTTTTTGTAAATAGGTTTTTTTTGTAATTTGCTCCAGGGAGAAAATATCGCTATTTTTTAAATAATATCAAACATATAGCATCTTTTTTTTTTTTGCTCTTTACTTTATGTTTAATAAATAAGCTTTACGAATAAGTCAAATTTGTTTTGCTTCTAACCCTTCTTTTGCCTGATTTTGCATTATCTTTAACTTATGGACATGAGTGTATTTTCTTATTAGTAGCATTACTGCATAAGAGGTCTGTTTCAGATACCGCGACTATTCGTTAGGTATTGTCAGTATTCAAAAGTCATATCAGGAAGATTAGAATCAATAGGTCTCTTCAAAAACAAAAATTGAAGTTGCCAAGGCTTTTCGAATTCAGCAAACCACGTAAAGACTATTTGCCTAAGGGAAGAGGTTGTCTTCATGGAAGACTAGCTCACATTCAACGTTACACATGAGGAAAGCTGCGAAAGCCAATCCTGCAATCAGTCCGTTAGGCTGATCGAATTCAGATCGAACTTCCAATATTCAGCGGTGTTTGCAACTTGACACTGAAGAGGCCGCAGTTTACAAAGGGAATTTCAACTATTCAATTAAATCTTTATAAATGTTTCTACTTTGTTTTTCTTAACTTTATAATTTTATTCAAAAGCACTTTTGTAAAAGTTAGGAGATTTTGTTGGAACTCTTACCTTTGCATGCCCACTGTTTCGCATCAAGCTGATATCCCATAACGCATTTGCATTCTCTTTTAGGTCCCATATCATCACTGTTATCAGTGCATTTTGCTCTGTCTGGACAATGCTTCAAACTGGGAATATTACTGTATTCATCCGATTCCTTGTCACACGGATCTGTAATTTTTGAATATCATAAACACTGGAAAGATCATCTCTTAAGCTATTACTTGAATTATAATCATATTAGTTATCTACACAAATGCTACAAATAAAATCTGGTATCGCTTAAATTTAATGTCTGTTATAATCATGAATACATTATCATTTTGTTAGGTAACATATATCATACGAATGTTTAGCTAATAACTTAATGCTTAATTTCAAACTATATATATTTCAACGACTCTGCACTGATTATTACTTGTATTTACTATTTTTTCACAACACTCATAAATTTACTAAATATTCAGTTGGCTTTCAAATAAAGGAAACAAAATCTGATGCAGATGTTATCGTGATAGACCGAAATTGGAGAATGTCGACTTGCACCAGAGAATATCAACATTCACCAAATACGTCGGTGAAAGACCGAATATTTCTATTCGGACCCTCACCGGTATATGTCGACAATCACAGATATGCTCTGGTGAAAGTCGAAAAGAGAGGTCATAAAGTGCAATAATAGTTTAAGTTGTTGAATAAATAAGATTTGCATCACATAATTTAGTAAGTTTTTTATTACTGTTATTTTATTTTCTCATTTACGAACGTAGTGTATAATTAAGTAAGTTTTTAACTTCTATTATTTTCCTTTCTCATTTTGAATGTATTGTGTGTTTTAGGTTCTCATGTTCTTAAGTTCTTATTTCAAGTTTCAAGTGCGTTTATTCGCGAGTGAATTACGGAGAAGAAAATATAATATTGTTATATGTTCAACATTCACCATTAGTACATGGTGAATGTCGACCGGTGTAAGTCAGAAATAAGAATATTTGGAATATATTTCGGACATACACCAAGAGACCATGTGAATGATGACATTCTCCAGATTTCGGTGTTTCACCGTAACACAGACACCAAATGACTTTCTTGTACGCCCTATTAAATTATACGCATTTTTTTCTGCATTTTACTTAAACTCATTTCCTAGAATTTCATTAGAGATGTTTCTTAGTCAATTAATTCAGTTTTTTACTTCTCGGCAAAGCAAAAATACATAAAACCTCAAAATATCTTCAGTAAAAATTGCAAAATGTAAAAAAATATTAAAACACCAAATACATTTTATAAAAAAATTCTACAACTGAAATTTTTGTGAAAAAACCAACAGTTCGGCCAGGCGGCTAGAAGCACTTGAACAACTTTTACATTATTAATAATTCTACAATAATTGTATATAGATTAATTAAAGGCATAAAAACCTTAACCGGAACATAAGCCCAACATAATTCAACCATTTTTAAAGCAAACAATTTACAATTTACCAACATATAAGAATAAAAAAAAAACTGAGCTGACTGAACCGAGTAGCAGAGTGGGCGCACATCTATATTTATGTACTTTTGGTGCGGCTGATTGCAACCAAAAGGGAGGTGCACAACTACATGTTATAGCAGAACCTATACACAAATTCAACTTTCTGAGGCTACTCATTTTCGAGTTATGCGAGATACATACGTACGTACATAGTATGTACGTACAGACGCCACGGGAAAATCTTTTTTGAATCCATTTTAAATGCATTTTGCAATTCGTTTTGTAAAAAAGAGTCCTTTATTCTGTTATTACGTAGAGATTTCATTCGAAAACATCGTTGAATTTTATTGGATAGCGGTCAAAATTGATATTTTCGTTGAAATATGATGCCCGAAATTTTTCGCGATTGCAGTACTTCCTTTACTTCGTACAAGAAAGTAAAAAGAGGAGTAAGTGTTTTTTAAACATCTGTAGGGATTTCATGTTAATTAACCAATTATTATGATTTAAACCTTTACTAGTTCTTTTTATAGTTCTCACCAGAAAGTAAATTAGTTGTGTATTTAAATCAGGGGTTTGAAAGTTTAGGATTAGAATTTAGCAGCCTCGCTCGCAATCCTGTTGTCAGCTCTTCCAAAGATTACTCTGGCTTTAGCCATTTTGCTAACCGACGTTAAAGAGCGCCGTAAAATATTTAAGTCAGCTTTAGTACACCTTTTTTTTTTTTTGTTGTTGTTGTTGTTGTTGTTGTTGTTGTTGCTGTTAACCCTCTCGCTGCGTATTCCGCGATTCCCACGGGCAACGAAAATAGCAACTTAGAACCCGATTTCCGCGGGGATGAATTTTTGAAGTCTATTTAACTGTGCAACCCGCTCTTTCCCCGTTCAAGGTTTCCTTTCGGCTTTTCTGTGATGTTTAATTGTTGATTTAGATGTGGGCTAACAGATGGCGTTAGTTGTTCACATTTCTGCCAAATATACAAGAATACGTAATGTAGCATTTTGCGCGCGCTTTTCAGAGCTCAAATATGTCTGACAGGAAGCGTTTCGCGAGTGATATAACCTATATTCCTGACGATATTTCGAACACTGATAGTAGTTCTTACTCTGATTTCAAGTATATCGAAGATAGTTATAGCGAAACTGATGAGAATTTCTCAGATTCCTCTGCAGATAGTGATGAATCTGAAAATTCAGTTTCTATTGAAAACGTTAGACAGTGGTGCAAAATTGATATATATATTTTGATTGATTGAAAAAAATTAATATATATAATATATAGCATATATGTTTTGCTATATGCTATATATGAAAATTTTCAAAATTTTCCTTTTATATCATTTTTCTTCAATTTCAGTATTCTGACAATCTTTTTCTAGGAACTAATTCTATATTGAAAAAAAAACTCTTTTACAAAGATTTTTTGTATATTTTAACTCTAAAATATATGTAGATTTGATATATGTAATAAAAAAATACGCAATTTTTGAACCTATTTTGATTTTTTTTTAAAAAGTACGCAGGTGAGAGGGTTAAATTTAACTAACATAGTCTCTGGTCTCCGGCTACGCTATTTAAGTTTAAATTTCAACTTATGTTCATATATTAAATACTCGCAAGTGGTGGAATTTTGTTTTGTAAGCTCAGTTGGTAACTTCTGTTAAATTTAAAGAGATAAAAGAAATTAATAAAAATATTATTTTAACCTTCTTAATACTTTCAAGACAAGTCTCATCTTAAATTCACACTAGAGCGATAACTTGCCTGTCAGTCTAGCAAGGTCTGAAGGACATTGATTAATTTAAGTTTCTGCACAGTTATGAACTTACACATCCAGGGGAAAAAATCTATATTTGCAGATATACGTAACAAAAAATCTATATTTGGAGAGAGTTTTTGAAAGTATCGAAGCGGTCTGTCTTTTGTGCCGTTTAAATGTTCATTAAAAACAATTCTCCAGATCTTTATATTGATTGTTTAAGGTGCTTAAGTTTCTATGTATTCGAATTAAGAAAAATATAAATTGTTATTCGCTTATTTGCAGCTAAAAACGAGTCTTTTTAAATAACTTACCTTTGCTTCGGATGGCTGTGGTGTTAATATACAGAATCACATCATAAAGGTTAATTTAAATTATGTACATAATTTAGTATGCCTTTGAAATGACGCAGAATCAGTCATAAACTTTTTAAAATGTTTCTATGTTATTGGATGCAACATATAACACATAGCTAAAATAATCATCGGACCCTTTACAGAGTGCACAGTAATATCTAAAGCAAGACTCTCTAACGGGGGCAGGCCCACCAGCGGCCAAGCGGTAAAGTCGCTGAACACTGGTAGTTCGGTCCGAGAATCGAATCCCGCAAACGGGCTGGCTGCATGCGTGTTTTCGTGGTTTTCCCCATGTGTAACGTGTATACGAGCCAGTTTCCCTTAGAAAGTCCTCCACGAAGGCATCCCTTCCCTTAGGCAGATAGCCCTAGTGTGCTTTGCCATAATTAAAATACAACACACCTCTAACGGGGGGAATTTTCCCTTGGGAGGAAATTTCATACTTTCAAGGAGAGATGCGGTCACCCTTTCATTTAGCTTTTAAGTATTTATTTTTAATTAAGCTACAGTAACACGCCAAATAAATATCAATTCAGAAGCATTTTTTTGCACATTTGCATCTGAGGATGATGGTTCGGTAAAACCATCGAAACTAGTCCTGTGAAAATTTGAAAATATAACACTGATTTTTGTTGTTTGACTTCTGAATTCATATTTAGTTTTAGTTCATAAATATAAGAAACTACTTTCATTCAAAGTTTGGTATTTGTCAATACTTTCTGCATCTTTTTGTTGTTTGATTTATAAAAACACATTTTACAAAATTGTTGTGCTGTTGGATTATATCGATGCAGAAACATGAAAAATGTACAATTTCCTCACAGGGATACAAAATCCGGGCCTCCCGATTACGCATCGGATGTGCCTTTAGTTGAAGGAAGCGGAGAGAAAGGAGAAAATACCTAATAAAATAATCTTAATCGAAATTAATGTATATGTATTTTTCGAGATTTGGAAAGGAGGGGGGAGGAATAATCTTCTAGGAATGGTGTAAGGAGGGATTGGAGCAGAAAAGGTTGAGGACCATTGTTCTAAAGCATACATTCATATGCTGAAAAATGTTAGACAATTCGGTTAAAAGTACTCAAGCTAATTTTTTTTCCGGGGGGGGAAGAGATCCTGTTATATTAAAGAGAAATGGTTCATGAACTTTAACTCTCAAATTTTCAAATGAATGGAATGGGCGCTGCGGTGGAACTCCGTGGTTACTACAGGCAGACCAGATATTTAGATGCTTTTCTGCAAAATTATGTCAAAAGTAAGCGTACTGCACACGTATTCTGGATACTGAGGTGCGAAATACATCATAAAGCAACACTATCTAAGTTTCTGCAAAGATACTGGACAAAACATGGAATAAACTCGAATATCATTTAGATGTCCTTCTAATCACAAAACATAAAACATTTCCCCAAAATAATGGAAACTACTTTTAAGAGTAGTTATCCTTTGCCAATGCTTTATTTTTCTTCTTTTTTCCCCTTTCTAAGAATTTCGTTCTCCTGATGAGGTAGCTGCCCTCGAAATCGATTGAGTGTTTTAATATACTTACTCTAAATACAAGGTTGTTATTGCGATTTTGATTGTCACATTTGCGTGTTTCTCTTCTTTTCTAAATGAAACTAGCTTACCCGTCATTTTGACGGGTATTCTTAGATATAAGTACACATCATACAGTTCTGAAATTAAAGGATTGAAGAAAAAAATAAATTTGGCAATGTAGTTGTTCCATTACATCGATAACTGTCACGTAAATTAGAAAACTATGAAAAGACTAGTTTTTGTAATTTTGCGTATGAAGTCAAAAGTCCGTCAAAACGACGGGTCCCGTAAATCTAGTGTTAAGTCTGAGCCATAAATTTTGTTTTCTTCACACAATTGCAACTCGTAGATGATGCTTCACCATAAAAATTGTATGCCATCATAAATTTAGACACCTTTCCTGTCGATGCCATTAACAGCTTCGTAACTGAGATTACATATGCATGATTAAGACATCAAAAATCTGACTTTTTAAGAATTCAACTTTACAAATCACTACTGAAATTTGCAGTTTTACACAACTTTGAGAATATATGTAAAATAATCATGTAAAAAATAGCGATTACTTTCTAATTTTATTATATAATCAATAGGAACATGATTATCTCCTTAAAGCATAATCCTTAAAGCGTAGCGTCGAATTCATGAATTTCAATTCCTTTATTCAAATAATCAAAATAAGTTACTGGCACTGAAAATAAATAATTTGCAGTTTAATATACCTAAATGATTTTCTTTTTCATAAATTTACTTCGAAGTATTTAAGCAATTATATAAAAAAAAGTTAATCTTATATTGTAGCCTGTAATAGCTTAAAAATATATTTTTGTTGCAAATTGTACGAGTTGAATTCATAAGAAGGTTCATATTTAGATGATTTTTGTATTAATATTACTGAAACTGCGGCATCGAAATTATATAAAAAATTTATTTTTGACTTTTTTTTATATTTATAAACAAATAGGCTTATTTTTATTACTTATCTTATTAATCCTAATTTTCACGTCACTAATATAACTAATTTGTATCGAATATTCACGTTTTATTTTCACAATCTCTCTTGCGCTTTCTAGATTGGCTTTTCCGTTTAAAAAATTTATATGTTAACTTCTTTTCATAAAGGTTATAATTAAAAATTAAAAATTAAAAATTAAAAATCAATATTCAGAAATATATGTCAAATAAATCTTTGTAGTCATGATATCCTCAGTTCACTGTATGTTAAGGGGACTCATACACTTTAAACCCCTCATGATCTTCGAATATGTGACTGTTGCAGGAATTGAGATATTTTATTTATTTTAAAGCAATTACTTCCAACTTTTTACAGCTGACTACATAATATAGCTGCTTTGGAAACTAGTAACCAGAAAGTTTGTGTTGCCACAAATATTTTTGTAATTTAATCCTTTTTGTGACGAAATATTTCGCCATGTTTCTATCTTGCGCGCATGATATTTTAAAAATGGCTAATGGTACGTACTTGAAATTGGATGTAATTCTTTATATGGGCATTATTTTCTAACTGAACCAACAATCTGATGAATATTTTAGTATTGAAAAATTTTATGGACGGAAACATTACAATTTTTTTTTTAATAAAATACATTTTATAAACTCAACACCAAATAAAATAAAAATTTAACATGAAATTTTTAGAATTTTAGGTTCACAGTAGTTTTCAAATGTTATAAAAGCTATATATTAAATATAGAATTAAATTATGAAACAGAATATTTTAAACTGTGCGCGCAAGGTGGAAACATGACGAAAAATGTTGTCACAACGCGAATTAAATTATAAAAATATTTGTGGCAACACAAACTTTCTGATTACTATTTCAGAAAGCAGCTATATTATGTAGTCAGCTGTAAAAAAGTTGGTAGTAATTGCTTTTAAAATAAATAAGTTATTCCAATTCTTGCGACAGTCACCTATTAGAACATCTTATGGGTCTTAAGGTGTATGAGTTCCCTTAACTGTCTGTGTGAATATTTAAATGTGGTACGCATATATCTATCTAAATGTAACGTATTTGAAACTAATTTTATCTTGTTGATTCACAGTGTGAAACAGTCTCACCTGGGAAAATTTGCATTTGAGAATAATAAACTAAAACCAGTGCATAAATTATAAATTTCACTTACCAGGACATTTTTCTCTTACGAAAGGAGACCATTCCTCACACTTTTCTACTTCGTGAGATTTGTCTTTGATTTTATCGCATTTATAACCATCGTCTTCTCCGTTAACACATTTTTTGACTCTCTCTCTGGTACCTACGCCGCAAGTCGTGGAGCATTCGGACCACTCTTCCCATTCAGAATTCTCCAGCTTTTCTAGAATGATTCCAAGTATGTCAATAGGCAGCGTGGAACCACACATACGAGCTTGAAAAGATTTCAAGTACACTGATAAAAAAGGGGGGGCAAATTTCTGTATCTCTCCTACTGAGCAGAATGACCAAATTGAACTTGCCTTTTTTCGTGTCTCGAAAGTGCGGCTTAAGACATACACTGCTCGACATTGAAAATGCAACACCAAAAAGGAGTGGTCAGAAATTTATGCAAATTTTAGAGTAGACGCACGTCACTGAGTCATGCGAATGATGTGAAATGCGCAGCTCTCCGACGCACGTGAAGTAAGATATAAGGGAAGGAACGTGCAGAATGGGCAATATTCGTGTCGTTATTTCTGCCAGACGAATTATTGAAGAAAGTTGGTTTTTGTTCCGGAGGATACGTGTATCAGGAGAGAATGCCAGGCCGCCGTCAACGAAGGCACTTCCAGCAGATATACGATTTTACGAGGGGTATGGTGATCGGACTGAGAAGGACGGATTGGTCCTTACGTCAAATCGCAGCTGATACCCACATGGATGCGAGCACGGTGCATCGGCAATGGAGAGCGTGGTTGGAACAAGGAAATGTGGGAAGAAGGATGGGTGCAGGTGCAGCCAGAGTGACGTCAGCACGCGTGGATCGACGCATTCGCCGACAAGCTGTGGCGGTCCCGCAAGTCACTTGTAGCACGATTCTCCAGCATATGCAAGATACCCTGGATGTTCCCGTGTCGACCAGAACCATTTCCCGTCGACTGGTTGAACGTGGCCTGCACTCACGGCGTCCGTTAAGAAGACTGCCATTGACTGCACGACATAGACGCCAACGTTTAGAATGGTGATGGACTGGAGCGATGTGGATCACAGAATGGCGAAAGGTCGTGTTCTCAGATGAGTCACGCTTCTGTTTATCCAGTGACAGTCGCCGCATACGTGTGTGGCGTCGACGTGGAGACAGATCTAATCCGGCAGTAACTGTGGATCGCCCCACCGCGCGACAACGTGGCATAATGGTTTGAAGCGCTATTGCCTACGATTCCAGGTCACCTCTAGGGCAGTATGACGGACCAACGATACTTAGATAATGTACTGTGGCACGTGGCAAGCCCTTACCTTCAGGGGCTGCCTAATGCAATTTTTCAGCAGGATAACGCCCAACCACACAGTGCTGGCATATGCCACACAGTGCAACATGCTCTGCAAGGTATACAGATGCTTCCCTGGGTCACCGTACTCTCCTGCCCTGTCACCAATCGAACATGTGTGGGATGTGATTGGACACCGTTTGCAAACTCTCTGCCCTTGCCTCGTTCAGAAGACGAACTGTGGCAAATGGTTGAAGGAGAATGGAGAGCCATCCCTCAGGACACCATCCACACTCTTATTGACTCTATATGCCTAGACGTATTTCTTTGTGCATCGCTGTCCGCGGTGGTCCTATATCCTTTGCTTATTGTCAAAACTCGCCCTTTTTGGTCCTGCACGCTTTTGTTATTTTATTTAATAAATGTGGGGCCTGGGCGGTTGTTGGGACTGTCTTTCGTGGGCATTTGGTCTGTTGGACTGCCCTCGGGTTGAATTTGGCTTTGGGTTTGGGCTCCCGGTGCGTGGCGTCTTGTGATTCCTCTTTAGGCTCTAGATATAGGTGGACGTGGTGCTATACCGATTAATCTTTTGGTAAAGGGACAGTGCCCACGTCCTCCGTTGCTTATCGCTTATCGCTTATCCTACTGAGCCGACGCCGTTCTCGCTCTGTATTCTGACTATCATTTTGAAATAAAGGTCACTTATTGCTGCTGGCTGTCTCTGTCTTTTTTCCGAATTTCATCACTTTCTGACCACTCCTTCTTGGTAATGCATTTTCAATGTCGAGCAGTGTATATTAGATTTATATATAGCATTGTTCTAATATATGTGTTTTGACGCAAAATCGGACTTTTTTTGAAATGGCATCCCAGTTGTTTTCCCTATTTCGATTCTACGACTCAAATTATGCCAAACTGCCAAGTTTTGCAAAAATCGCAAGAGTAGTTTTTAAAAAATTAGCTCTTAAAATATGAGTTCCTCCATGTTGATTGAATTTGATATATATTTATTAATATCTCTTTTTTTATTAAATTTATTTGATTCTTCATTTAACATTTCGAAATTTAGGTTCATTCTAAATAAAATTCACCCATTTTTTTATGATTTATTTTTAAAATTTCCATTTTTAAATAATTTTTATAAATTGTTCGAAAATGATTTTGAATTGTAACCTATAACATTTTTATCATCAAAGTAGATGTATTTCTAAGCATACGTGCAAAAAATTAGAGTTTTTTATTTAAAATTTCCTAAAATATATGTGAATTTACATATTGGCGCGTTTTGAAATTTGGCATATTTGTTATAAGCGATAGTAACGCCAAATGTGGTTTACGCACTTTGTTAAAATTATTTGAAATAAATAACTAACGATAACTTTTTAGCTCGTTTATAAGGTATTTCTCCCGCTTTCCTAGCGTGCCTTCGTGGTGTAGTGGTTCTGCACGCTGGGCCGGTATTCCAGAGGTCCATGGTTCGATTCCCGGCAAAGGCAGTTGCTAATTTTTCATATCTCCGGCTTTTAAAATTAACCTAATGTCTCTACACGTTTACTCTGGAAAAAGGAAATGAAAATAGGTTACTATAAATTAAGAAGTTCGCCAAGTGAATTATCCTTGGCGCAAACTCAAAAAAATTCGTAAGTTTATTTTATTTTGTGTTATTGTATTTATTCGTGTTTTTTACTTACCTCTGTAAGCTATGTGGTGCGTAAGCCTATGTGGTGCATAAGGATTTAAAATTTTGAATTTAAAAAAAAAAGATAAATTTTTGAAATTTTCTGTAAATTTCGCACCAAACTTTACAAAATTTAATATTTAGACACAATTTGAGTTGTAGATTCGAAATGTGGAAAAAGATTTTCATATCATTTTAGAAAAAGTCCGATTTTGTGTCAAAATACTTATATTCGAACAATGCTGTATATTAATTTAATATGTATCCTAAGTCACGCATTCGAAACATAAAAAATTCAGTTTGAATTTCGTCCAATCGGTCCCGTAAAATGGGAAATATAGAACTGTCCCTTTTTTTTTTTTTTTTTTTTTTTTTTTTTTTTTTTGCGCAGCGTACATCAGTGAAATCTCCCAACCCTTTATAATTGGAAATTTTAAATTGAAATTTAGTCTTGGGAAACAGCTCATCATTTCTACAAAAAATCATTTTAAAATAAAAGTTGCATTACTGGCAACCAAACAGTTTTATAAAATTAATTCTATATCTTGTTTCTGAAGTAGAAAGGAATCTGCCCTGTCTAGGAAATAGATTAGATCTCCAAGGGATATATATATACCCCGCTTTTCTCTTTTGGGAGGATCACACAACTATTTACAAAGATATTAAAGCCATAAAACAATTATATTTATTACCTTCACAAGATTCCTCGTTGCACTTTACGGTGGCTTTGTCGGGACCTTCACAATCTGCTCCACCGTTCTGAGGTTTGGGATTGGTGCACGTACGAACCCTTGTCTGCTCTCCACCTCCACAGGGTTCTGAACAGTCTGAGTCTGACATTATACTCCAATTGGTCCAACCACCATCGACTAGAGATATAGAAATACTGATGATAGCACAAAATATGTTTATCAATTTTTATAAAAAAAAACACGTTGTCCAATGTTTACAAACATGAACATGCTTTTGTAGGTCAGAATCCTGTCAGGTTATATTCATATTTTATTTTTCATAAATTAAACAACAGTGAAAAATCATAAGAAGGCTTTTGATCAAATTTGGAGAATGTGTGAAATATATTAAAACCTTTAAGATGCCAAAAATGTTTAGTAAAAGAAATATTTTTCCTCGAAACGTTTTTTAGAGAAATTTGTTTAGAAATGAAAAGTGACAATGCAATGAGCAAAATATGACCTTTTCTTTTAAGCACTGCAGATCCAGTTAAATCCTCCATTTCTTTTATGATTATGTCGATCTTCTCAGAATAGGATAACGACCATTATTCCTTTAGGCAGATGTGAATTCTTTGTTGATATCAGTTGGGAAGTTTAAGGGGGCTCATACACCTTAAACCCCTTATGAGCTTCGAATATGTGACTGTTGCAAGAACTGGAATATTTTATTTATTTTAAAAGCAATTACTTCCAACTTTTTACATATAATATAGCTGCTTTGGAAACTAGTAACCGGAAAGTTTGTGTTGCCACAAATAGTTTTGTATTTTAGTCCACTTTGTGACAAACGTTTTCGTCAAGTTTCCACTTTGAGTGCATGATATTTTAAAAATGGTTAATGTTGCGTACTTGAAATTGGATGGAATTCTTTATATGGGCACTATTTTCTAACTGAACGAAAAATCTGATGAATATTTTAATATTAAAAAATTTTATGCACGAAAACATTACAGATTTTCTTAATAAAATACTTTTTATAAACTCAACTACAAATAAAATAAAAATTGATCATGAAATTCTTAGAATTTATGGTTTACAGTAGTTTCCAAATGTTATAAAAGCTATATATTAAATATGGAAATAAATTAGGCAACAGAATGTTTTAAAATGTGCGCGCAAGGTGGAAACATGACGAAAAATTTTGTCGCAAAGCGGATTAAATTATAAAACTATTTGTGGCAACACAAACTTTCTGATTACTATTTCAGAAAGCAGCTATATATTATGTAGTCAGCTGTAAAAAGTTGAAAGTAATTGCTGTTAAAACAAATAAGTTATCCCAATTCTTACAACAGTCACATATTCGAAGATCTTATGGGTTTTAAGGTGTATGAGTCCCCTTAAGAATAAAAATATATCTTTCTAGAGCGAAACGCATATGTTCAATAATATTAAATTTGCAAATAGAACTAAACCAGCCTATGCGTACAATGAAAACAGTATTATTCAACTAGTCTAGTTTGGTGCGAGCGAAAAATATGTCTATTGTTTTAAAATCTGAGATTTTCAAATGTCTTCATAGTATTTCACATAATTACAGGACCAGTCAGTCACTCTTGTGACTTGAGCTGGATGTAAATGGCCATTTAGGATAAAGATCATGCTCCATGTAGTGAACTTCAAGAACAAGAGCAGTCTCCAAGCTAAGGCGACAGAGGCAGTCGGTCTGGGAGCTGATTTTTAGAGAGCACCAGCCAATTTTTTTTTTTTTTTTTTTTTTTTGTAAGTGACATAGATTAAAATACTATATTATGTCACTGAGTACAATTTGTAACTTCCTAATGTAAAATCTTTTAATTAATTGTTTTTATCTTCACAATATAATAAATTATATCTCCGCTAACATCGATAATCTTAAAGGAACTTGAAATCACATTATTCTTTGTTCATTTGCCTTACTTAATACGCCATCCTTTCTGCTACCTCATTTTAATGCTTTCACTCAAGACCATCTTTAATTAAGTACACCTTCAAGATTTCTCAAGCTCAATCAAGAATTTAAGAACATTTTCTAACTCCATCGCCTTAATATATTAACCTTAAATATATTGTTACGTTATTTCTTTTTTTCTCTTCTGACGCCAGTTGTTACGTTATTTTCTTCCTTCTCGTTCGTACGGGGTTCGTAGATTTGGAGTGAAAAACGACGAACCACATTCGTCTGCTAACAGCTGAAGGAACTTCGACCAAAATTTCAGGTAAGACCTCCTGCAAGAAGATGCTGTTCAGGTTTCCAGTTAAACGACAATATAGAATGTACGATTCTACTAAGTTATTGTGCACAATGCCTGCCCAAACATTAATGGAAAAACTTTCTTGGTATGCGCGTGTTATTGCCCCTTGTGGGTTATCATGAGCCCACAGCTGAAAATTATGGATGTTAAACATAGCCGACCGCGTAAAGGTAGCCTCATCAGTGAATAAAACTTCTGCAGGGAAAGCTTTGTTGCCTGCAGTCTGCTGTAGGTAACGGCAAAGTTGAGACGTGGAAGATAATCGTCAAGAGTCATTGCTTATACTATCTGTAAATGATACAGATGCATTCCGTCTTCATGTAAAGTCCTCAAAACAGCTGCATGACTCATACCCATCGCACGTCCTACAGCTCTCAACCTTGATGAAGGATTATCCCTTACTATGCTTAGTATTCTTTCTTCTACTACAGAAATTCTGCGATATCTTCCAATGCCAGTATCACGCCTGCACAGATAAAACGATCCACTCGTGTTCCCGATGAACACGCTCGAATGCTCTATGATCAGGCTGATTCCTTCCCGGAATCGCTTCTTGTACATCCTTTGAGCAGCTAATCCATCTCCTTGTACAACCCCCCCCCATACATGAAATGCACTGGGGTAGCCTGGGTTACTGGCTGCCCTCGTTTGTGGAGATACGGGGGCCCCTTCTTTTGAGCTATGGGGACACTCGTGTTCAGGTGGGCTGAAGGGAGCCTCCAATTCTTACAATTCTTACATGAAATGCATGTCGACAAGATCCGCATTGGGTTACCGATGCATGCTGCTCGAGATCTGTGCGGAAAATGAAGAATCCAGCTAGATCAGCGCTTTTATACGCCGCACTCTTCAGTGCTGTCTACCGGCTCAACGGGGCATAATCGCACCCACATTCCTACACGAAATATGCTTATTTAGGTCCCCTCTACATGCCTTTATATTTTTGGCACATAGTTTTGAACCACCTTATATACTGTGATTATTTTGATTAATTGATAACAAAACTATAAAGAAGATATCAACTTTTAAATATTCAAAATTATTAATATAAAATATGTACCTTTTTCTTGTTGAACTGCTCGCGCTGATATGAAAAGTAAACCAATATCAAATATTAAAGCGAACCTTGCTGACTTCATTTCGTTTTAATAGTTCTTTAAGCAGTAAAATCTGAAAAGAAAGAAAATTTCATTATCCAATTCATACCATATTGTTGAAGGAAGTCTATCGTATGATTCTCAACGCTCTCTTGTTTCCTGATTATTTTATTTTTTGCTGTTAAAATGTTTTGCCTTGAATAATAGGGAAATTAATGATATTTAAAGGTACCACTAGAATTGCATCTTAATTGCATTAAAAAAATTCTTTGTTATTTGTGGTTTGAAAACAGCTAGGAGTGTGTCTTGGATTCAGAACACAAAAACTGAATGCTACATGAATGCCACAGAAGACTACTGGTCGGTGGCGTAACGTGGCGGGGACATGGGGGACAATCTGCTCCGGAACTGATTCAGAGAATTGATTCACTTTACCGAGTGATCTACGATCCAGCGAAAAATAGAGCGGTAGTTCTTTAACAGTTCACAGAGAGCTCTTGTTGGGAAGCGTGCCGAAAATTTGATTCCTCTTATATATAAACACTAGCATTCTTCAAAGGACATAGTGGCCATTTTGGTAATGATCAGGCAGATGAACTTGCCAAAGAAGCAGCTATTAATCAAGATGGTACTGAAATCATCATTCCGTGGCCTCGCTCAAATTTCAAGTACCAACTAGCTTCAAAATCTTGGCAAGATTTGTGGAACAATGCTCCACAGGGAAGACGCACATATAATTTGATTCCCAATGTAAGCTTCGCATCTCTGAACTCGAATCCTTCCCTAAATTACTTTATAACAGGACATGGACCCTTCCCCACATATTTCTACGCAAGAAATTTGGCACATTCTGATATCTGTATATATGGGGAACAGGAAACTCCTGATCACTACGTTTTCTCATGCCCCTTAACTGAGAATATTCATATAAAATCCCCAAGAACTGACCTCCTGGCATTCCAAAGGTTTTTAATTAAAAATAAACATCAATATCCAAAGTTTCAGAAAATTATGCAACGACTCTCTTCGTACGGCCTAGATCTCTGTCAAGTGTAAGTCCACATACAGTTTAAACTTAGTGAACTTTTACATGCTGTGATTATGGACAAAATGGATCCGCTCGTGAACTTTATAAACTGCAATAAACCAATATATCTGAAATAACCTATGGACACCTACCTCTTTAGCATTATTATAACAATTCATTTAACATTGTGTTGCCAGTACTAATTATAATTAGCTCATTATGTTTATTTGTTTATTAATTATGTTTATTTCCTATTTTTGTTGCACCAAATCAGATTTCAATTTATCTTGTGAATCTCAAATTGTATTCCTACTATTTTGTAATCTTCTTATGCCCTACACCATTATTTTTAATAAATACTGGATGCGGGACGTACTGTGGAATTGCACGATGTACCATAATAGGCAAACTTTAGACCTTTTGAAAAGCTTCAGTCTATGCAAATTCTTATAAAACTTGCAATTACCCCCCTCCTTTTTTTTCCTCTCAAAGAGTTAGTATGGGAAGCCATTACCAGTTGACCTATGGTACATCGTTGGTGTCCCCCATACTTTTACCTTTACCTTTCCTTTATTATTTACCGAAAATATCTTTAACCTTTTTATGAGTGTATGTGCGTGTTATAGATGTATATGTGTGTGCTTTTGGTTTGCTTACGTTCCATCTAGTATTTAAAAAAAGAAAACATTAAATAAACCGACGCATCTCGGCGAAACTGACCACCCCTGTTGGCAAATGGATGGAGTTTTTCCCCCATCTGGCTCAGCGAGAATCTGTTTGAAGTACATAAGATCCCGCTTAACGCTGTTTCGGTTTAGCGCTCTTTTATTTCAACCCGGGGATTCCACGAAATCGCTCGCAGCATACGGGGATTCCCCGAAATATTATGCAGCGATAGGTTTCAAATACATATCCGAAAGAGTGTACTTGTATTTCTTGTTTGGTGCGGTATTGTACAGACATATTTTGAAGGGGTAAATGTGGAAGATGTCGAAGAAATAATTCAAGAAGCAGCGGCTAGTCTTTCTAATGATGAGCTCAAGTAATTAACTGAACAAGAAGAAAACAAAAATGTTGACAGCTGTGATTCAGAAGAGCAAAAAGAACTTTCGATGGCGTTTGTAAAAAGGAGTTTGTCTACCATAACTGAAATAATGGATCAATTCATTGAAAATGATCCGAATTTTGACAGGAACTCAAAAGTAAGGCATGGTGTTAGAGATGCTCTATCCGTTTATGAAGAACTTTTAAGATAACAACGCAAAAGAAAAAGGCAAACAACATTAGATGCTTTTGTCACAAAAAGGCAGAACACGGAAAACGCGGAAGGCTAACTAAATATGACTGAGAATTTTATTTGTTTTTTTTTTAAGAATATTCGTTTTGTTATTTATATTTTGTTTTTATTTTTGCAAGAAATAATAATGTGGTATTAATTTGGGCTTTAAGAAATAAATGCTTGGTTTTATTTTTATTAAAAAAACATACTTTTTAAATTTAATACCTAACCAATTTCCTATCCATCTTCCCCTAACCCCAATATTTACATGTAAAGATAGCCTCGTTTAGCGCTGTTTCGCATTACGCTCTACTTTGATGGAACGTATCCCCCGCGTTAAGCGGGGTCTTACTGTATATAGATTATAGGTGCTCAGTTTCTTCCTCGAATTCCAAGCTGTCAGAGCTTCTTTAGTCGCAGATCTTGGTTCTTCCGAGTCTTGATTATTCGCTGTGTTTATTGCTCCTTCTTTAGCCGCGGATCTGATTCCTACGGAGCCTTCATTATTGGCTCTTTTCCATCGCTTCCGCGCTCGTGCTCTAGCCGCAACTCTGCATTTACGAAGTCTTGATTATTTGATCTTTTCGCTTCCTCGGAGTTCCTTTGACTTTCATTTCGATTCTTTGAATACTGTGTCATAGTATAGCTATGTATATTAGGTATTACCTTTTTTATATGATATTATTGTAACAAATATGTAAAATAAAAAAAATTATTTATTTATTTACTTACTTATTTTACTAATGTCCTGTAGTCAAGAGCTTAATGTTCTTTAGAATTAATATATATTTAAAAACATAAATTTTTCCATCTAATGTATTTTTCAAAGTTGCAGAACAAAATGTACACCCTACCGCATAAAAGAACGAGCGATATTAGGTATTATTTTGTAAAATTAGATTTAAAGAAAGGGGGGGAAATGCCGGTATTGTCAGCAGCCAATTTCCTGTTCTTTGGGATCTGCCTTCCAATCTAAAAATTTATTTTTATACAGCGCTTTGTAGTAAGAACAAATATCAATTTAGTAATAACATAATGTATTCTTTAACAACACTGAGTTTAATTTTCATTATTTTTTAAGTTTTAGCATTTTTTTATTCCAGAATTTTATTTTTGTTTTATGCGTGAAAGGTGAATTTTAGGCAATCTAAAAAGCATAGTTGAAAGAAATCATTCCAAGGAGTGGGCTGTTTGGTCGAGTTGATTCCAGCGATCCCACCCCTTGTTCGATTCTTTCTGCTTTCCCCCCCCCTTCTTTGCACACCGCTCATAATCCACGCCTGATCCGAGTGCATTAATCAAGATCATTGTTAATGAGCGGTGGTTCGTCAAAAAGAACTGATTCACTTCAGTGAGCAAACGGTTCCGATCTAATCGTTTAAAGGAGCAGTTTTTTGTACCTCTAGAGGGAGTGGGGGGCGCAGGCGGGTTTATATATAAGGTGTTTATACATCTTTAGAACGATTTCGGAGTTACTTAATTGATATTTAAAATGTAAAAAGTATTTTTTTAAATGCTCGATTTGATAGCCTTTCTTCAGGTTTAAAAGTCTGCATCGTGATTTCTATCGTACGAGGGCAATCCCGAAAAAAAGGTCTCCTATATTTTTAGATATACAAAGAACCGTTTATTTTCTATAATTGCTACATCACTTTAAAGATTGAAGAATGCTTTATTTTTGAACATAATCGCCATTTCGGTCGATGCATTTTTGTAGACGCTGTGGCAGTTTTACAATGCCCATGTCATACCAGCTTGCCGCCATGCCCTTCAGGAAGCGTCAATCGAGTCCAAGAAGTTGTTCTTTTCGTCTCCATAGCGGCGAAGAAATTCGCGGGATGAATCAACCCGTTGCCGTTTGTGGTCTTCTGTCAGCATACGCGGGACCCATCTTGCACACACCTTCCAATATTGCAACTTTTCCGTTAAAATCCTGTGGATGGTGTTTCTGGAAACCTCAGGAACCAAAATGCAGAGAGCATCCAGAGCGATCCTCCGATCTTTACCCATGAGTTCCTCAACTTTCGCGATTGTCTCGTCGGCAATTGACGGCCTCCCGCTCCTTTCTTCGTCATGAATTTCATTACGACCGGTTGTAAACTCTTTACACCACTTGCGAACGTTTTTGACATCCATGCACGACTGTCCATACACTTCCGTCAATAGGCGATGAATTTTAAACCGGTTTAACGCCTTTTGCGTTCAAAAATCGAATAACTGCGCGCACTTCGCACTTGGCAGCAATGTTTATCGGGAGCTCCATTTCGAATGGCTGCCAAGCCAAGACTGAGCATCCTAGCGAAGCGCCTACGTGCTTATGTGGTAGCGGAGAAGACACCACTCACAATAGTGTTGCCAACAACCGTATTAAAACTTTCTGTACGTCCCCAAAAAATAGGAGACCTTTCTTTTGGGATTGCCCTCGTAGAAGGGCTTTTCGTAAAATTTACTGGGACACTGATTTTCGTTCTTCTTCCACTACTTTCCAGAGTTCATCAGTCGTGATGGCTTTGCCCTTAGAATGAGTTCTTTTCGAGAGACCATCGGCACAAGAGTCTAAGTGTGAAACGTCATGGGATTTGACAAGAATACTTTGAAAATGTATATATGCAATATTTGCATCGGTCTTTATTTTTTCAAGGAATGCATTGGTACTTTTCGAAATACGACTTGTTGCTTTGTCCTGATGTAGCCTCACGCTTTGGAAACAATTGAGATAAAGAAATGGAACTCCTTCTGTAAATATCGGACGTAAAACTTTCTCTTCACGTTGAATTGATATTAAAAATTTTTTCCACTCTTTTTTTATTTTTTGTTCCCCATTGTAAGAAAATCCCCCGACAATCATAAATTATTTATAAAACTTCATTTGGATTGACAGAACTAAGGTTGTACAATATTTTTTCTTCGTTTTCGATAATAAATAGACGTTTTTTGTTGCAGTCATTTATGTAATCCCATGCTTCATCAATGGCCACAATGTATTCCCATTTATCTTCCAGTTTTCATACAAGTTTCCACAAACTGTTCTAATTGACCAGATGCCTCAGCAAAAACTTGTGAACATTACGTTTATTTAGAATTTTTTAAGTCGTAAATCTTCATTATTTTATTTTATTTATTGTTGCCACAAAACTATTTAAAGATTTTTCAACTGATTTCTGCGTGGTCGGATTTTTCTGTTCTTATCAACCACTTAATTTTAAAAACGTTAGAAACAGTACGTAGCTGTTTCGGGTATTCGTTTGGAGTCTTCTTTCCATGCAGAAGTGTGACTAACGGTTTTTCTCTTTCCGATTAATAACGTTGCTTATTTTGCACTTCAGAATTTCAATACCGGGTGTTTTACAACATTTTTGGATTACGGAACAGGAGTTTTTCTCTTCGGAAAGCACAAAAACATGGCCTTCAATCCACAACTTATTTACATGCGATATTTTGAAAGAAGAATACATTTAAAAGTAGCAAACGATATTTATTATTTCAAATAATAAATTGTACCAGAAACTTTTATTCCAAAACATTTTTTTTTAATTCTTTATCCGAGCCAGTCTGAAAAATCCTTTGTAGTGGGCTATATTAAGTATAAAATTTTAAAAAAATGTAGCTTTTCAAATTGGCTGGGAATTTCTTTTAATATGGTTATAACCTGGCTTCAGAATACGAACGTCAGGGTATTACGTAGTTTGAAGGGTGTACATACAGTGACTCACAAAATTAATGATATCTATAAATTTCTTTTAGGAAAAATACATTAGTTATTTTATGAACATGTAGAGTCATCAGGTATTTTTGGAAGCAGGCAAAAGGAAAAATTAACAAAGTCTTCGCCAGGAATCGAACCGCGGACCTCTGGAATACCAGCCCAGTGTGCCGACCACCGCACCACGAAGGCTTGCTAAGAAAGTGGGAGAAATACCTCATAAACATAATAAACTTTTTTTTCTTTTTTAATATCTGCATCAATGTTTCTCCATTCTTTTATTATTTACTGCTTTTTAGTACGGTTTCCGTTTTGATGTTGTGTATTCGTACTTTACCTCAAATTCTCTCCAGATGTGTTCTATCGGGTTTAAATCTGGTGACTAAAGTGGTATTTTCAGAACTTATGGACCATAACAGACACACTGAAGGCGAATGTTGAAGGCCGTGTGCTTAAGATCGTTATCCTGATTTTAAAAAGTAAATAAATGTAATCTAGCTCATCTGAATACTCGTCGAACAGCTCCGGAGGGAATTGAAGTAGGAAATGTTTCAGTAAATTCCATAGAAATATTTACAGCACAAACGTGGACTTTTCAGAAATTTTCTAACTATAAATCTCTGTTTACGTTAACTTTGCCCCTGGGATTTTTTCTTATTTTATTTTCGATTCAATTTTCTTTTTTAAACGTTTTATCACTTACTGCACCGTATAAGGGAATAAATTTACTAATTTAGCGACATCCCGGTTCGATTTTCCACCCTTATGAAAAAATTTTCAATTTTCGAATGATATTCGTTGTTTTCTTACAATTTCGAACCATTTTTAAATATTAAATAAAATATAACGAAGTAAGAAAGCAAAGAATAAAGCCAAATGATTTTTTAAACGTCACCAAAATGCAAAAATAAAAAAAATGGCTGAAGATATTATTATGAAGAAGATTTATTTATGAAATTTTAGGAAAATATTTCTGTGTACGATCACTTTTGTGATGTGTCTTATCTATACCTCCTTACATTTTCAATTCTAGAAAACGAAAATAAATCAGCATTACGTAGGAAAAAAAAAAAAAAAAGTTTGGTTTTATTCAAAAATCACATAGAGATGCTATGAAAAAATATTGAGTTTTATATTCGAAATCAATTCCGGGATACAACGCTTTTTCAAAAAATTCTTAAACTGAACGAAAAACTTTGGGAGCAATTGTATATTCCGTAATGACGTCATTATTAAGAAAATTAATTTAATGTTCGTTTTTTAAAGAACTGTTGACTAAAATTTCTTCTGTATTAAAAACATTAGTTTTATATCCGTTTCTGAAAGAACTTTTAAATAAAATTTTTTGATCTTACATAACAATATCTCTCTATCGCATTTATCCTTTCAAAAAAAAAAATAAAATTTTAACTTCTTTTCAATACAATCCTTTACTTAGAATCTTTCTTAAATGAATAAACTATTACCAGCGTTTCTCAATCGAATTCCAAATGATATCCGTAAATTTCGAATAGATTATTTCAAAATTCGTAATTAAAAATGAGTAAAATTTAATCAAAATTAAAATTTTCAAAGCTAATTTCGTTAAAACTCGCTTAATAGTAACTCATATTTATATGACTTTTAAATAAGTTTCTAAAAATACTATGTTGTGAAAATAATCTCTCAGCGATTGCAGGCGAATACAGGTATAATTATTCATCAGTTAAAAAATTAAATTCCTAAAAGAATAGCTTTTAAAATAATGGATACCAGAGAAAATTATCGGTATTTATCAAAATCGTTTGCTTCTGAATTGGAAAAAAGAACTTACCTTTTTCACTCAACTTGTTTGGATAAACTTTAGGTGGCAAAAAAGAATACAGAAGCTCATCTCTTTTCTAAAAGTAGTTTCCAGAGAGTACGCATTCTTATGAAGATTCCCTTACTAGGTAACTGATAGTCCGAAAAATTGTTTACATGGGCTTACAATATACAGAAACATCTCCATGGAAATACACGCTCTCAGCTCACGCAATTCTTACTGCTCTTAACTTGTTAACGATTTCATATGCTTCTGGGAGAAACACGTAAATTGTAAGGGTATTTCGAAAAAACATTTGGATAGCAGAGCTTCATTTTCATTTTTAAAAGCCTTTATGACAGTTTCGTTGACGATAAAATAAATATTTACTATGTTTCTTTTGAATTTTAGCTGAAATTAATCGTTGAATAAAACGCAAATGAAAGGAATAAATTTACATTATTCTACCAGAAATATAACAATTAACTTTCAGTTACCTCTCACTACACTTGTGACATTGTACGCTGGCGACTTTGGCAAAATTGTTGGTGACTCATCTATAAATATTCACGAATAGAACTGTGTTAACTTGCAAAATATCATAAATAAGCCAAGCAATATCAACTATCTAATTCTCATTGTAACTATATAAAGTATTCTCGCACATTTTTCTTTAAAAAAAAAAAAAAAAAAATAGACATCTGATTTGGACACTACTAGACTTCCTTGTATGGCCTATTAAATTATATACATTTTTGCTGCATATCATTTAAACTTATTTTCTCGAATTCCATTATTTCTCAGTCAATTAATTCAGTTCTCACTTCACTGCAAAGCAAAAATACATAAAATCTCAAAACATTTTCATTAAAAATTGTAAAGTAAGAAGAACATAGAACACCAAATACAGTTAAAACAGTTAAAAAAAGCAATTTTTACAATTATAATAAGAGTTTCTACGCATAAACAAGGCATTCGCCAAGGGGCAAAAAGGCAGATTTTTCGATGCGCAAAACTGAACGTTTACTTTTGGTCTCATTCGGCGAAGACTCTGAGGGTGCAGAAACCGACTTAATTCACTATTCAACGGAGTTTCAAATGCAAACAAATGGAGGTTCCTTAGGCTTAACTCGCCATTTAAAGTTTTAAATTGTTGATAATTCTACAACTATTGCATGCAGATTATCTAAAGCATAAAAACACATAATTCAATCCTTTTAAGCACAAAATGCACAATTAACCAACAAATAAGAATAAAAAAACTAAGCTCACTGAGCCATGTACAGAGCGGGAATATAACGGGTGGCCATAATTAAACTAACAGTGCTCACAGTGTTTTGTAGTGCGATCTATTTTCGAGAATGGCGCCACATTTTGTAGGAAGATTAAACAAGACGGGGGACGAAGGATTCCGCAAAAAAAATTAGTTCCAAAAGTCACCGCTAGGGGAAATTTGGCGCTGTGTAATAGAAAAGAGTGTTAACAAAGGCAAATCGATACGAAAATTACCTTTTATTTTGCATTCAAATGAGGTTCAATGTGGGTGCCGTTGTTGTGGACCACATATTGCATTCTGTGCACAGTATGCACAACAGCAGAAAGTAACATGTCTGCAGAAATCTCCCGTACAGTCCGTGATATGTTATCCTTCAACGTAGCCAGGTCCTGGACCACTCCTTGATAGACCTTGGACTTAAGGTAACCATAGCAACCATAACAAGGTTAACAACTTGCTATGGAAGTCGCATGGGGTAAGATCAGGCGACCGAGGTGGCCATGCAGTTGCAAAGTAGCGGCTAATGACTCTTTCTGTTGTGAATTCTGTCGTAGCATATGTTGCACCCGTACAGCAACGTGTGGAGGGGCTCTATCTTGCATGAAAATGATTTTCCCCAAGCATTGTCTTTGCTAAAGTGCCGGAATGACAAAGCTGTTCAACATGTGGCGATATTTCTCTCCGGTAACAGAACAGGTTTCCGGTCCTGTCGGGGTAATGTTCTCATAGAAGAATGGACCTACGATAAATTTTATTCCGTATTAATTTGCATTTGTTAACACTCTATTTTCTGCTACACAGCGCCAAATATTCCCCTAGCGGTGACTTTTGGAACTAATTTTTTTTCGCGGAATCCTTCGTCCCCCGTCTTGTTTAATCTTCCTACAAAATGTGGCGTCATTCTCGCAAATAGATCGCGCTACAGAACACTGTGAGCACTGTCAGTTTAATTATGGCCACCCGGTATATATGTATATATAAATTATTTACTAAAGAAATATTGATTAGCTAATTGTTTTCAGACATTTTTTATGCTGTTACTAAAAAAATGAGTCTATTTCATAATCTTTAGTCTGCCAAATAGCTCGTTGACAGTGAAAATTACTTTTTTCCTTTTCTAATTTTCTTCCTCGTTCCGACACGACAATTAGCCAGAAATTAATTAATTTCCATTCACTAGTTAGTATATTCAAAATTTTAACAAACGTTTTCACTCACATAAGAACTCCGCAACAAACGTCCCTCAAGCATTCCTTGTCCCTCCCACGTCCCATAAATTACTTCTCACAAGTTTCGCCGACTGAAATAATTCAAAGTATCCCGTCTGCCGATAACGGAATTTCAGACACACACCCCTTCTGAGTAAGACACAGAAGAAAACACTTCACCGACATCCCACTAGAAAGAACATAAGTTAATTAATGCATTTTCTGGCCTTTAATATCTTCATGTACATTTCACATTTTTTTCTTATTATATATATTAATTTTTTTAATTTTATTATTTGATATTTTTGTTCAAAAGTAGCATTCTGTTTCTTAATTTCCTAATGTTTATTTCAATTACTTTGAGTTCTATTTCATAATTCCAATTAAGATTACCATTGTTTAATTTTTATACAAATAGTTTTGAATTAACATGCATAAAAGCGAAGGTGTCGGGGGACATTTACTCAAGTATTTTGTAAATTTTACTACATAAATTGCTTTTCACTCAAAATTTATAAAGAATCTTGTATTAGCGAAAATGCTTCATTCAGAATGAGTTCTTTAGTACTCTACTTTGGTTCTAAATCCCATCACTTCACGGAACTACAATTTTGGCCTAACTTAATTTGCCAGTTTGGCATCACCATTCTTACTTGAATAAAAGGCGAAACATCTTCGCATTTATTATTTTTCATTGAACAGGAGTTGGTTTGTTCCCCTTGAAAAGTCAACTAATTTCCGATCAATAGCGATAATTATTTGCTTTTAATTTAATTTATTTTTCAAAGTTTGAAATTTTGTTATTCATGATTTAAATTCAAGTCCCCGTAAAACGTCTTTTTTTCATAATTTACATCCAAGTTATTTTAAAACATAACTTTCGGAATTAAACTTTCTACAAATGGGTTCCCTCTTTTTTGATACTTCTACTAAATTTATATTAAGAGTTAATATAATCAATATTTCTTTAGTAAATAATTATTATTATCTTACTTTGCAGCTATTGCGCAAGTATTAGAAACACTTGTTTCAAACTAAGTGAATTTAAGATCATTCAACATTTTATATGTATATATCCTTGTGATGTGTAACAGCTTTAGTCGTAGCTTAAATTATCAGACGATAAGTTTTTTTTTAAAAAAAAAACAGGATCCCTTTATTATTATTCAGGAGAAATAGCAGTTACAAAATCAGACATCCAGAAGTAAATAAAAAGAATTACTAATAACTTTTTGTGTGAAGTTTACTGCATTGTGACATTTAAGAAAAAGCTCCCGATATTCTTTTTGCGAGTCCTTTTATAGCCTCTGGAAAGGCGGAGCTTCCATAGCCTCTGGAATGACGTCAGCCTCGTCAGCCATTCCAGTTCACTTTAAATATTTCGAGAACATTCTATAACTGTACGTGTAGAAAAGGCGGGAAAAACAACTTGACTACGGGGCTGTGGATTTAATTCCACGTACTTTCAAATAAGAGACCATCGCCATTAAATTAAAAAGAACATACAGTTAGAATTTTAAATGTATTCTTGACTATAGAAATTTTATTATTACATACATATATATGCGATTGGTGCAGCCGATTGCAACGAAAAAGGGAGGTGCAAAACTACATGTTATAGTAGTTCCATATATAAAATTTCAGCTTTCTACGGCTACTCGTTCTTGAGTTACGCGAGATACATGCATACCTACGTACGTATGCACACATGTCACGGAAAAAATTCTCTTCAGAATCCATTTTAAATCCATTTTACAATCTCTTATGATTAAAAACAGCCCTTTATTCTTTACAGATGTCACGCAAAAACGTCGTTCAAATGGTTTCGTGAGCGGTTGAAAGGATATTGTCGTTGAAATATCATACTCGAAATTTTTCGCAATTACAATACTTCCTTTACTTCGTATAAGCAAATAAAAAGAGAAGAATATTAGAAGAAATCCAAACTTGTCTCGCAAAATCCTTTACCTGCAGTTCACATATATCATTTGCCAACCAGCGGCTGAGTGGTAAAATCGCTGAACACTGGTAGTTGGGTCCGAGATTCGAATCCCGCGAACGGGCTGGCTGCATTCGCATTTTCGTGGTTTTCCCCACGTGTAACGTGTATACGAGCCAGTTTCCCTTAGAAAGTCCTCCACGAAGTCATCCCTCCCCTTAGGCTAGATAGCCCTAGTGTGCTTTGCCATATTCTCAATACACCACCACCACATATATCATTTAAAATTACTAGACCAAGCTATTTAAATTACTTGCATTATGCAAAACATAATATAAAATTTTACTTTTCATATTTTCGTGAAATAATTTCATTTGAAGAAAGCAAATTCAGTATTTAAATTATTAACAAACCTCCTGCAACATATGGAAATGTTTTAAATTCTTCCATTTCAGCTTAAAAATATTTTATTAATCTACTTTAATGATACTGAAATCCGTGTTTTTATTAACATCTCTAAAATACTGATTGCACGTAAAATTATTTTATCAAAGTAATACGATTCAGAAATCAAATAACAATAAAATCAAAAAAATATTTATTATGCAAAAACCCACATAAAACTATCTCCAATATAATGAAAACAATAACAACAAAGGCACTATTTTGATTCCTTAAATAAAATACGATTTGCCGTTTTTAGTGCTGATTTTTTTATTATCGCAGTATC